TTTGAGAAAGAAAAAAGGGACTGAAGAAACGTGTGTCAAACAACAGGAAATTATCGACAGTATTGTGCTCAAATAATTAAATATTATCTAGATAAAGATAAGATAAATTATACGCAAACATATCTTAGATAAAATAAAAATGTATCTACATAAGATAAGAGATAAAGTTATAAGTCGTTTCATTAAAATAATTGTATGATAATATTGCTTTAAAAATAATTTAGAATGTAAGAATAATATTTTCATATTTTTCCTTGATAGAGGGCTACGTCATTTTGACATCAGCTTGCTCTCTACCATTAGCTATCATTTATAATATAATATATAATTTTATAATTTTGTTCATATTTTCATTTATAATATTATATAAATCTTTATTTTCTAGGAACTAGAATTTTTCGAATATGTATGCTTTCTAATTATTTGTTGCAAAAAAATTAAATATTAAAATAAAACTTAATGATAACATTATTATTAGTTATAAATAATGTATATATCATTATTGCGCTGAAACATAAATCGCATATATCATGCAATAACATATGAGACTATATAATAATAGAGTTTTTGAATTACAAGCATTTAAAGTTAGTGAATCGTCCAAAGTTCGCACATTCAGATATGATTGGCACTTCGCATTGTACATATTACACCTAAACGCGTAAACTTTTGGCGGTATGATTCACTAACTTTATGCTTATAACTCAAAAATTATTTAGCCTCGACATTTTTTTATTACGATTTTCATCTCAAAATGACTCGAGAATCTCAGGAATGACCTCTTTAAGATTACGATTTTTACTGGATACTTTGTATTATATATTATCTATATATATATAAATTATATATGTGTATATTTTATATATGTATATATATATATATAAACCAATATTACAGGGAAAAAATACTCGTTACACATATTAAGATAATTCGAAAAAAATAGCACTTTTTCTGTCTAAGATAAAAATGAAATAATGGTAGTACATATTATAATAATCTAAGATGAAGATAAAATGAAGCTATTTCTTCATCTAGATGATTATCTAAATAATTGTAAATACTGATTACACTGATTCAAATAGTAATTTATCATAGCAATATAATATTTAGTTTATGAGCATAATTGATTAATTAAAAACTAGAAAAAAAGGTTATTTAAATTAACAAAATTTTCATAACTTCCCATACAGCACAGAAAGATTGCAAAATGATTGCAGATATATCTCATTGCAATGTTGTAATATTGCAAATAGATTGCGCAATGTATTTGCAACATTGTTGCAATGTCATAGCATCATAAAAATGTCCGCCTTCAGCAAGATTGTGCTGTAATGTCGTTTTGTTTTGCACTAAAAATTCATTTTTACGTAAAAGTGAAAATAAAGAGGTATAGCCTCCAATGGCCTTGATCTTGACAAATGTTATCCGGGACATGATCCTGAACAACATTCAAGAGGTTTTAGCCGTCGGTCGGACAACTTGCGTAATACCGGCTAATACATGCTGTACTGTAACTTTCGAGCCTTATAACTCGAAAAATACTTAATGAAAAAATATTTTATTATAGTGTTTTGAAAAGCTCTTGAGGTAAGTTACAAGAAAATGTAATGAAAAATAGGGGGTTCCATTTAAAACAATCAACGTTTTCGAAAAATCTTAATGCATTATTTAAAATGGGACACCCTGTATACTATACATCTAAAATAAAATTCTTATTATTAATTATTTGTTAGATTTGTTAATCAATTTCAACCGGTTGAAATTTGTCTCATGGATAAATTTACTGTTATTTCTATTTGATTAATCGTAGATCTAATATAGCAATATCTTAATTGGTTTATCGGCTTAAGTTACGTCTTATGGTTACTATTACTGAAATTTTGTCTGCCCTAACGACTATTATCGAAAGTCGAAAAAACAAAAAAGATTACAGATGCTTTAGTTCATTTATTGCGCTATTGTAAATGCTAATTGTGCTGTCATCTAGTTTCCAAACTTGTAAAACACACGTCAACTACATTCTCAAATTTATGATTTTTGTAGATGTCTGATCTAACTATCCATGTCTCATCTAACTATCCAATCATCGATTACTCAGAGCACTGTATTATTAACCATACTAATTGGAAGATATATATATCCAGACAAGATATTATTATGCCTCGTCTATAATATGCAAAGTAAGTTTAGCATATGAAGAAAGAGTAAGGAATTAATCAATCACAGACAATTATTTTTGACCCGTCTGCAATACACGTAGTAAGCTTGGTTTAAGAAGTAAGAGTAAGAAATGGACCAATCACAGTCGAATGTGAAAAGAATAATCGACTGTGATTGGTCAATTTTTTACTCTTACTTCTTAAGGGAATCCTAAACCGATTACCAAACTTTATCGAGGTCGATAGTGCAGACTTTTTTAATTCCAAATATTTTCATAATTATCAACTGGGTCCCGAAAATTCGGGAATAATTGAAGAACGATGACATTATCGACAATTGATATTTTGTGACTAAACCCAGAGAACATTGAGACGTCTTGTAAGACATGTGTGCCTTCCAACAAGCGACACAAATGATAGTGTGACACAATGGATCATTATATCCTTGTTGTTTGCCAATATTAAACAAAGATGACATGATCACTTTGTCGCACTGTGTCGCTTGTTGGAAGGCACACATCATAATGATGTCTTAAAATTCATGAGATACTTTTTAAAAGTACAAGAATGACATCTATATGACGTCTTTAAAAATACTTATGCGTCGATTTATGACGTCCTGAAGCCATTATCCTTAAGGGGATCCTAAAGCTATTTGTATTACCGACTAATCATAATTATAGCGTATTCGATTTACCGACTCGACCCGACTCCGAGTCAACGGTCTGTTCTTTTTGGCTGCATTTCTTGCACAGTTCAGCTCTTCTTTTGCAGCTAAACAGAACAGACCATTGACTCGGAGTCGGATTGAGTGAGTCGAGTTGAATCGAAAACGCTATTAAAGAGAGACGCTTGTGAACTGAGCACATCACACCATGGTGTGAAACATATTCCTGATCGAAAATGAGCCTTGTAGCGTACGACAGCAGTGACGAGAGCTCGGAAAACGAAGACAGTGAGGCCGCAGAATCAAATACCGTGAATGATTCGGATAACGATGCGACCGAAGCAGTAACCGTACAAATAAGTTCGAAATTATCCTTACCTGCTCCGAAAGTAGTTTCACATAGTACAAACATTGAGGAAGAGAACGATGATGTGGAGCACAACTTACAACAATTTCTCGATACCTTGCCAAAGCCCAGAGGTTCCACTTCTATGGGAAATGTTGAGGAGGTCGAAGATGATATTCTGTTGAAAAAAGAAACGGAAAGTCAAATCCCGAAACCAGCAAAAAAGCAGATAGTGAAAATATCAGTGCCTTCCTTATTGGAGGTATGCATGTGTATATACAGGGTGATCTGAAATTCCCGTATTCGGAGTACAGGACATGATACTTTATACTAACAGAAACAACTTTTCTTTTACAAAATTGCATCTGTCAAGTAGTTTTTGTAGAAGAGCAAGTTGAAGTTATATGAGTAAACGCAAAAATTATTTATCAAATGTGATTTTACTATGGAAAAAAGTTGTTCGTTTTAACACAAAAAACAATTTTTTTCTTTAGCAAGATTGCGTTCGATAAATAATTTTTGCGCTTATTTGTTAACTTCAATCTGCTCTCCTGCAAAAATTACTTATTGGATACAATTTTGCTAAAAGTTATACATACATATATATATATATATACACATATTTAGATACTTAATTTTACCGAACGTTTGTATTATTTCCATACTGTATCAGTTTAAGGATCTTGAAGAGGAGAGTGAGGAGAAACCAGTCAGAATAATACAATCGTCACAAGTAAGTTTAGAAAATTTTCTCAAAATAAATACATAGATATAACTCATGAATTATTGATTATTGTAGAAGGGCTGTGGACTCTTTTCCCTCTTGACAGCGCCAAAAGGAGAGACAGCGAACAATAAGACTCTAATACCTCAGGCTGTTAAGAACGCAGTGATAAAAGCAAATGTACGGCAGCCAAACACAATGAGGAAATCCAGTACAAATCAAAACGACTTTAAAGTAAAAGAGCCAACTTCAGATAAATCACATAATGAATCAAGCTCTGATGAAGAAGATGCACCGATAGATTTCTTTGGGCTAGCCCCAAGTGAAGATCTGCCAGGCAATTCCACAAGTAATAATCCAACAGAATTATTAGATTCAACATTGCCTTCGGATGATCTTATACATAAATCAGATACTGAAGTTTTACTTATGAAACATGTGGAAGATCATAAGATACACAGCTCTTCCTCTATTAAACCTGATACTTCAATGAATGGCCAATCGAGTAAAACGTTAACAAGTAATGTTATAAATCTACCGAAAGAAGAGATTTTATTGAAGAATAAAGCAGAGGTTGGTCCGAAGTTACCCGTTCCTGAACAAGAATATAACGTTGACTTGGAAGGCAATGTTGCCTTTGACGAAAAAGCGATTGAGTATCTTTGTGGAAAACGAGGTATAAAACGCAAGGAAATCGACGAAGCGGACATAATTGAAATAAATGGAGAAGACATAAAACCGGATGAAAGAGAATGGTTGGTAAAGGCATTAACGGAAGAATCTGTACACAGGCCGGTGTCTATGCAGAGCGGTGGGGTAAACTCCCAATCCAAGAAGAAACATCAGATAACTTATTTAGCACATCAAGCTAAAGCCATGGAACTGGAATTAAAAAATCAGTGGTCTCAGAATAGGATGGCACGGAAACAAACAAAATCGAAATATGGTTTCTAAAAACAGATTTGTACAAGTTTTTTTTAAATATATGCACATATAAACGATCATTTATTTATAAGCTAAATTAATGACATATGTACAAAGAGTACTGAAAATACTAAAATATATTAAAGTTTATTCCGTTGAATTGGAAATTTAAAACTTGAATTTATTACTGACAATGTGCTTTTCCAAAAATATCTGTTCTAGGTTTTTCTACTCTTTCTTCTTGCTTTCCATCTTTTATTTGTAAGATAAATTAATGACATCTGTATAAAGAGTAAATACTGAAATATGTTAATAGTCAAGTTTGAAATGCCATTAAATCTTCTGAGCCTTTTCTAAAAATATCTGTTCTAACTTTTCATACTCTTTTCTTTTGCTTTCTACCAACAATTTAGCTTGCAGCAAGTTTGGTGGTAAATCCTCATATTGAGCGAGAGATTGATTAAGATCTGCTAATCTGCTTGTCTTCTCCAGGTACAGTTTATATTTATTCAATATTTTTTCCGAATAAAGTTCGTCAACTTGCATATCACTTAAATCTGTTTCCAATTTCTCCACAGCTTGCTGGTACTCCTTCAATTTTGTAGGCAGGAAAATCTTATTGCAATACATATCATTCTTATCTTCTTCTGTAACATCAATAGAGTTCTTGAGAGCATCGACTGCATCTTGAAGATGATCGAGCTTTGTCTGCAACTTTGTACAATTTCTAAATAATTTATCATGCTGTACGGACATCTGCTTCTCTTCTCGCTCCCGTCTTTTTTCCTCTATGATCTTTCGTTCTCTAACCACCCGCAATGTCGTTTCATCAAATTCGAACAGCTTTTCAGCTTTCAGGATCGAAGATACTTTTTCTAAACCTTCTTTTATGTCGTTAGGTAATGTTTTGACATCAAGATTCAATTTAGCTAATAAAGCCATCATCTCCTTTGTATATGCAGCATTCTCTTCTGTTGTTTCCAAGACGGCTCTTTGCAAATTTCGAAGCAAAGAGACTTCCTCGGCTGATGTGTTTCCTTCTTGGCATTTTGCAACATCAGTTGCAATAAAAACTGAGTCGTTGTATGATGATAGTGATGCTACCTGTTTTTAATTAATTACTAATTAATATTTTTTATAAGTTCTATCCTTAATAACTATTAATAATAAAGTATTAATAATAAAGTAATTAATAACTATTCATAATAAAACTGATACTACCAGGATTGTGCTACATATTTCGAGATTATGTGTATACAAAAAATATTTATGTATAGTTTATGTTAAGTTTATACAACTCTTTTTCATATAAACAATGGCTACATTTCAAAATTTACTGTCAGCAAAAAAGCTGAAAATCTTCAGTTTATGTTACGTATACTATATATTTTCAGTAATGAATTTTGAAACACAGCCAATATATAAATAATGTAAAATAAGAAAATTATTGTAAATTGGATAAAACAATATTAGAGGTTGGGCACAATAAAAGCAATAAGGAATAAAAAATAAGAATTTCAACCTATCAGAAACTGTGTATTCCACAATACATGATTTCTGATAGCTTGAAATTCTTATTTCCTATTCCCTGTTCGTTATTCCTTTCATTGTGCACAGCCTCTTACTACTGAAAGAAGTAATTAAGTTTTATTATGGTATTGTATTTGACTCAATATTGATAAATAAAAATATAAAAACAAAATAAAAGCAATCAGAGTGCAATCAGTGTAATGACAATGAACATAAGCTTCGATGATCATAGATTGTTTACAGTTTTCACAGATATGTAACAGGCAGTTTATATTATATATACAAAATGTAAACTATTATATCTTACACGTAAATGTTCTGATTATATTAATTGCATGATAATTTATCTGCAATAATCATTAATAATAAAATTATTTTCTCAATAATTATTCATAATAATTAAGCTAATAATATTATATTACTCTCTATATAGATCTTGGCTGCGTTCAGCAGAGAAAGCAGCTTTGCAACTGTTGTAAAATTCTTCAATAAGATACTTGCTTTTGATTTCTTATAGATCTAAACGTATAAACCAATCATATCGAAAAATTTTACAACAGTTGCAAAGTTGCTGCTGAACACAGCAATTAATTAATCATATAGATTTGTATTGTACTTAGTACACAATTCTTTAAATGTATTGTCGAAATTAAGATAATTTAATAAAAAATTATTAATACACATATCACAAGTGCTCGGTGTAAACTAGGACATACATAAGTAAAACTCCGATATCCTTGGAGAGATCTACTCACCTCACTGTCCATTCCATCGATTGTTTCGATCTGTTTTGAGCTAAACGTTATTGTTAAATAACGTTCTTATTCTTATTTATTGGCTCCTGAGTCCTGCCTCCGAAACAAAGAAGGAAACAATCAGACAATACGGCGTTATGGTTAAGGTACAATTTCATCTGTGTGTTCGAAAATAAGTTTGATTATGACCAATAAAAACAGTACAGTTGGCAGCAGTGAAAATATATGATATTGAGATTGAAGATTGAAAGATTGAAATTTGACCAATCAAAACAATAGGAGCTAAAATTCCTTTGTCTTCACTGGTCAAATTTTAGGCCCGTATTCATAGTCAGACCTTATACTTAAAGCTTCCTTAAATTTATCTTTAAATGCTCAGTAGCCAATGAAATAATTCGTAGAGCATCTGAAGATAAATTTAAGGAAGCCTTAAA